ACTGAAACTTGTATGGACTGTAAAAATATCTGTTTAATCGAAATCGCTGTTTCGAGACAACTAAATGAACTGTAATTTATATGTTTGTCCTGAATCATCGCTGTTTCAAGACTGCACTGAGACTGTTTAGTTGACCTTTTTGGAATTGGAATGACCGCTCTTGATCACCTCAAGCTTACCCCGTCACCTTCACCTCTAAGCTCAGCCGGTCCTCCTGCCCCGCCTCTGCTGGATGCCTGCAAACCTTCGTCTTCCCCGGGAACGCCTTGCTGTGCTGTGAAGCCGCAGGCCGTGCAACCGCCAGACTCACCCGAGCAAGAAGATTCTGTGGCTCCACCTCCAGGCTCTGATCCTTTCGCTCCGCCTCGGCCCGTCGACCTGTCAGATCCGCTTTGGCTCCTCCCGCCCTCAGCTCCACCAGAGACCCTCGACTTTGTGGCTCCACTGGGTTCCCTCGTCCCATCGGCTGCCCCTTGGTCAGTCGTCACTCGACTTCAGCCACGGACTTCCGAGCCTTCCACTGCGCTCAGTCCCTCCAACCCTACGGCTACAGCGGGTTCCTCCTTCCCTCCAGCTCCGCCGGCTCAGCCTCAGTCCTCGGACACTCTGGCTCCACCTTGAGCGCTCGTCGCCGCACCCTCGCTTTGGTCTCCAGAGCCAGCGGTGTCACTCAAGCCAATCAGCTCTTCTTCTGCGCCCAGGGATCCTCTGACATCGTCTCCATCTCCGTCGTTTGTCACCCGGATGTCGGAGGTCACCTTTACACTGTGGCTCCTCCCGCAGTCGACTCCGCCGTGGGCTGTCAAACCATCTCAGTCACCGGGCAACTACAATAATCGCCTCCAGGGTCTCATCCATCTCCTCTCACCAGCCCTTCACCATCTACTCGTCCACCTCCTAAGCCCCCGCCGTTCCTTCCTCACCTCCTCAGGCCGCAACTGAAGTCGCACCTTCTCGGAGGGGGTGTAATGTCATGATCTGTCAGTTTAGTTTTCATTCTCATGGACTTTTAGTTTGCTTATTATTTCCTGTTGTCTTTGTTTATATTTCCCACCACTTGGTACCATGGATATTCATTTAATCATCACATCTGTTCGTATTTGAGTTCGTTATCAGTGTATACTTAAGTTCCCTTTTTCCTCAATTGTTGGTCGGTTGTTGTTTGTGTCTAGAGCACACTGTTGCACATGCTGGAATATTCTGAGTTTATTTTATCATTAAATCACTTAGGGCCCTATCTTGCACTCGGGGCAAATGACTTTGTACACTGACGCATGTATCATTCCTATTTTGCACCCGCGCAAAGCGGACTTTTCCCTCCACAGACGCACGTCGGTTAACTAAGAAATACACTTGCGCTCCCCGGGGCGGTTCAGCGCAAAGAGGAGGCGTGTTCCGGCGCAAACTTTCCCTCATGCTATTTTGCTGTTCTATAAAACAATTGCGCCACTGACCAGAAAAAAAGTAGTCTAAAGTCAGTGGCGCGTTGCGCGTTGTTCATTATGCAATTTTAAGGGCGCATGCTTGGCCATAATCAATGTAGCGTGTGCACAACGCGCATACACGTTGATTCTCTCATCTAAGCAGCAGTTTTCATTTTTGCAAATCATACATTATTACGATCGATAGATAGATAGATAGATAGATAGATAGATAGATAGATAGATAGATAGATAGATAGATAGATAGATAGATAGATAGATAGATAGACAATTTATTATAAAAGCATACATGTAGCTTACACATTTACCTAAATTATCATACGGCTGTTTAACAGAAGTTAATTTGGGTGGGTTTCTCCATCCCCAATGTCACTTCTCTGTGTTTTACTGCCCTGAGGAGAACGTTGCTCTCCTCGGCTGTGAACCGCTCCTGTCGCGCGCCTGGCAAATCCGCCGTTATAATAGGAATCCGCTTTAGAACAAGCGCGCCTGCTCTTAAAGGGAATGTGAGATGACGCTCTGATTGGTTTATTTCACGTTACGCCCAAACCACACCTATGAATAATGAAGCTACTTCAGACCAACCCCTTTTAGATTTGCGCCAGGCGCAAGAGGCATTTATCCCGCCGGGAAAATAGCAACAGCGCCGGGATCCGCCCACAAAGTTACTTGCGCTTTACGCTTTGACACTTGCGTTTCAGATCGTTAAAATAGGGCCCTTAGTATTTGCAACCTGTCTTACTCTTCATCATCTTTGGATCTTTATATTGTAACATATACAATTGTTCTGATTATATATATATATATATATTATACAAATAAATATAATAATGAAATTGGATGAATTATATCAAGATTTTAATTTGGAATCGTATATGGGAATTTAAGTAGAGAAGGCATAATTGCAATTTTTATTGTATGCTTAGAAAAATATATATTTAAATATATAATCATATAATTTTATACATTTATAAATATAATTATTTTTAAAAATACAATTAAAATAAACATTTGATTTTTAATTGATTTTTTATAATATTTGGAATTTATTTTTATTTATTTTAAAATGATAAAAGCATTATTATAATTAAACCATATAAAATATATTCTGATTATTTTTATTGTTATTTTTGAATAATTAAATGGTAAATGGTAAAATGGTAAATGGACTGCATTTATATGGCACTTTCACAGACCCAATGGCCACCAAAGTGCTTTACAATTTGCCTCACATTCACCCATTCACTCACTCATTCATACACCGACACTGCCAATTAAAACACACTTAAATAATATATTAAATTTACAGTATTATTAAAAGCGCAAACACAATCTGTTGATTGTGATAAATGAGTGACTCAAGCCTGCTGCTGTTGATGCAGAAGCATGTGTGTGTGTGTGTGTGTGAAACTGAGATTCTGTTACAGCCATAACTATCTTCACTCTCTTGTCCTTTCTCTTTTTCATTGCTGTCAATAAAACCTGCTGCCTTCCCAGGCAAAAGAAAAGCAGTCACCACAGCAACCGCCCTCCATTACAAACACACACACACACACACACACGCACACACACACACACACACATCTCTGGGACAGAAGAGGAAGTGAACGCTTGATGACTGGTGAAGAAAAGGGGCTTTCAAGACCCCCTGCCTTAGACATATGGGCCAGCTCCCACCACAGGAGGCAGAAGAGATGGAAGGAAAGCAAAAGTCAGAGACTGAAAGGGATTGAGCAATAGATGGATAGATAGTTTGGGGAGAAGAAAGAGAAAAAGTGTGAAACAGGGAGGATTACGCATGCATTACAGAGTGTGAGTGTGAGAGAAGCCTAGAAAGTGAAAGAATGATACAGTGATATGACGTGGACCAGTGACCATGCTCAGTAACATCCATCTGCCACACGACGCCTCAGATTCATCTTGAAAGGTGCGTTACACAAGCAATAAACTACAAACAAATGTATGCATACCTAGACTAAGAAAAGTGATGGAATAGCAAACCTTTAAGGTATATGTCATTACTTTTTTTTCTCATGTTTTTCTAAGTAAAACAAAAGGCAATTATTTTTGAAGAGCATTCATGCATCTTTTTTCCATACAGCAACATAGTTCATAGTAACTGACCACGTCTGTGGAGTTCCAAAAAGAACAAACATCATCATAAAAGCATACAACATGACTTGCATTATATGTTAACACTTTTGAAGCTGTACACTAGCTTTGTGTGAGAAACAGATGAACATTTCGGTTTTCAATCACTTTAATAATCTTGATTTTGCCAATGATTTGAAAACTCATTTCCCTTTCGAAGTGGAACTTTATCACTGCATCAATCCAATGGCATTAAAATAAAAAAGTTTGTTTTTCTCATAAGAAATAACAACAGATTAGTATAGACGCAATTCATGAATGATTCATTCTTTTCAGTTAGCCCTTGTTTAATCAACTCAAATCAGACGGAACAATTCATTTGTGAATCAGTCTGTCGGGTCAAAGTAATAGATTCAACAACACACTCTCAATGATGCAATGAGAGCTTTTCTCAAGCTAGCACCTCACTGAATCTGTCTTCCGGTCATGTTCGAATCAAAACGAGTCAAGAACGGTTGAGTAATAACATCCTCAGAGCTCGAGTGCTTAAGGAATTGACATGTTGAAACGGCTCCAAAGATCCTCAAATTGAACTCAGATTGGAAAGAACAGCTGCACAGGATTGAACCAATAACTACCAGCATCTTTCACTGAAATCAATTTGACACAAAGTCAAACTCCTTCCCTGTGATGTCTATGAATTTTCTTCAGGTATTCTCGAAGGCGATTCGGCCTCAAAGGTTCACACAATACAAAGAGAATCATGGCCAAGTCACAAAACTGATACATTGCCCTGAACCCGAAACTCAAAACTACGGTAAGAATTTCAATTTGTTATCCATTTTATTCCAGTTGGTCCAAAAGTTTTTTTCAAATCTTCCATTCTCTCTGTAAAACCATAGCAGCACTTAACCTAACAATTTCTCTATAAAAGTTTCTACAGCAAAAGACAAAGTGAAACTCATCTGGACAAGTTTTATAAGTACGTATATACATTTTAAAAAATGCAATAGAAATTACAAATAATTATATTTAAATTTGAATTTATTTGTATAATAATTTGAATTTATTTTATTTATTATTCAGTAAAGGACAAAGCAAAAGATTATTGATGTCTGGACAAGTTATATAAATAATTACTTTAAGAAAAAAACTGCAATAAATATATTAAAAATAATTGTATTTAAATTTTCATTCATTTTTATAATAATTAGTATTTATTTTATTTTATTTTTCTTAATTCAATTATATAAAATATGTCGATCATTATTTTTTTTTTATTTCACTTGGTCAAAACTTTTTGCTCTTTCCAAATCTTCTTCTCTTGGTTCTCTCTCTAAAACCTTAGCAACTCTTAACTTGATTACCTTCGTAAAGTTTTCTACAGCAAAAGGACAAAGCGAAACCCATCTGGACATGTTATATTTCACAGTGGAGTTTAAATAGAAACTAAATTAAAAGAAAAAAGTTATCACCCACGAGCAGGAGAACCTCAGTCTCAGATGTTGCCCGCTATAAGTGCCCTATCCGCAGTGGCCAAGCGCGCTAACTAATTGGCCACATCACTAATGCGAGCTATCACCGCTGTCATACACCTGTGACCAATGGGACTTTATCTGAAGTGCAGCACAAGGGATTCTCCACCACACTGCAGAGAAACTCCATGGCTCATTAGTACCCTGAATGTGGCTATAGTGACAGGCTTAGGTTTGCCACCGAGTGTCACCTTTTCAGTGCGTGCGCAGCCATTAGCGGCCCTGGTTGAGCGATCTGTCATGGCTAAAGTTGCCCCGCGTGCTTCTTTTCCCCATTTGCACCCCCCTCCTTGCGAGGTGGTAAAAGATTGGTTTGCTTACTCTGCACATTGAGCCAGGCGGTGCGGGACACAATGGCACGGCTGCTTACGGACCGCCCCACTTGGCACTCGTAGATGCCGTCGTCTTCCAAACTCACGTTGAAAATCTGAAGATGGTACTGGCCTGTAAGAGAAAGTAGACAGAGCAGAAAATATGAGGCGTAAAGAAATTAATATGGGAGAAATGTAATGTTTCAATGACTGATGGATCGGAATAGAGACTTGACAATAGAACATGAATATTCAGAGACTTATTAAGCTCTACTGGTCTCATTTGTAATGCTGTTGAGTACTATAGAACATTTTATCAACCGGTCATTCAGTTTGGAGAATAGGCTGAATGTACACCGGTTTGAAAAGTGCAGACATAATACTTGGCATTCAACTTGAAATTAAAATTGACCCCATCTATCTCATGGCCAAACTCATTTTATTTAATAAAATGTGGGAAGAACCAATATAGTGGGATTAGTGAAGATCCCAGCATCTAAGGGTTAGTTCTCTTTAATTCCAAATGCACTACTAAGCATGGCAGGGGAAAAAAATAATGGTATCGGGGACGCATGTCTGCAGCAGGTGTTTGTAGGATCTACAAAATTGCTGGAACTTTGAAAATGGACCAATATTTGTGAATCCTCCAGAACACAGTGTAGCCGAGTATGGAGGATCTGTTTGGAGATCAAATATGTATTTTTCCAAGATGATAACGATCACAAACAAACAGTGAAAGCGCAGTGAAAGTGATTAGGCTGAGCATTTTGAAGTCTTCAAATGGCCTCGTCAGTCCCCTGACCTTAAAGCCATTGAAAACTTTTGGGAAATTATAAGCCTGAATTGTGATAATTCATACAGGTCTTCCAATGAAGCTCAAATTTGGGAAGAACTTAAGGAAAGTTGGAAAGAAGTTAAGCAAAAACAAGGGGAGAACTAACAAAATATGAATAACTGATTACATTGTAGTCAATGAATGCTTTATTTCAAGTGAGTTTTTTTTTCAATGCCTTTTTTGCATCATACAATAAAACCCATTTTAATTATATGCTGGAGTTTGCCTTTCTTGCCAAATAATTTTTCCATTTTAATACCTCAACCAAGTTTAGTGTATTTTCTTCCAAATATAACATACTCCTCATATTTTGATTGTTTAATAGAACCTGAAGTGTCATGAAAAGTAAATATTTTGCAAACATCCCCTACAGACACAACTTTTGGCCACTGCTGTATTTGAAAAATAATTTATTGTAAAAGTATTTACTGTCCCTTTTGATCAATTCAATGAATCCTTGCTGAATAAAAGTATTAATTTATTTCCACAAAAGAAACCCAACTCAGAATGCAATTTTGCTTGTTGTTGTTTTGCAAACGTACAGTTTAATTTATCTCAGAATATTACTTGAACGTATGCGCTGATTGATGTCTTGGGTTTTTCAAGAGTTCCCACCATTAAGAAGAATTTTGAGATTTGGCATGTTCAAATGCTTCTTGAAATCCACTTATAATTAGCTAGAAACAAATCAGAGTAAAGAAATTGCAATTGTCAAATGGCAGTGCTAAATTTGTTCGCAATCTCAAATTAACGGTCCCAATTAGCTATGAACACTGTGGAGAGAAGAACGTGATTCATTCTGTTTGATGCAGCCCTTCAACATCATTCCTTTGTGTGCAAGATGCTTGTTATTTACTAGCAGAATATTGTGCCACCAAGGGGTTGTTTATTCAACTACCATTCTGCCAGGATTAATGGATGCTCCGGCAAAGTTTATGCAAGCTGTTCGAGCTTTGAACATTTTTCTTTTGCTCCTTTTTCCTTTTCTCCTCCCCTCTGAAGAAAACCAACATGTAGAAAATAGTCTCCTGATATGACAACTTCCATGGCTGAAAAAAGGAGGTGTCAGCCAGGATGGCAGGATAATTAACACCAACCAGCAGCAATTTTCAGATCTATGTGATCATAGAAGGAAAGGAAACCACTTTCAGATCATTAATGATTTTCCACTCTCTTGAAATTGCACTCGGAACACGCTGCCGCGGTGTTGCAGTTCAGGGTGTTTGAAGAAGTCCGATAATTATGCCTCTGACAACCAATATGAAACGCCGACAGGGACTCTGGCCCGTTCTCTCACTCATTTCCTTTTGCAATGTATCCGGGGGTGTGGGCGCACCTACCGTTTGTCATGCCGTTTGCGTGAACTCATGTGGATACGCGACTGCGTTTCAGTAGATTAAGGTTGGCAGGGTTAACATTAAAGATGCTTTTAGCGTGTCTTTTTATGATATCATTTGTCCCTTACATGGCACTCTTTATCCGTCATGCTATCAATGCCTGGCGGCACAAGCGGTAGCATTGAAGAGCGTAAGCATTTTTTAAGCATTTGTACTTGCATTTGGAACAAACTGCCTCTCTCTGCCGGATAGCAGCTTTGTCCTCTATAAAGAGAAGCATATGCTCGGGACTTGTTTCGTTTTGTCTTTTAATTGGCTTTTTTATATACGAAATGCACACTGGCCAAGCACCATAGGTTATTCAGTGCCTCAGCCCACTGCACATTGATCTTAATTTACTCTCAATGTACATAAAAAATATGAGTAATTCAGGGATCTTTACAAATCTTTGTAAAGATTTATCTTTATTTTTTTAATTTGGGGTGGGGGGTGGTGGTTGTTTGTATTGCAGTCCTCTCACTCTCTAAAAAAAAAAGAGCTAATTTCTTAAATCTGTCTCCGGTGCTTAAATTAGAACCCCTTTGATAGCATCTCGCTAAGCTGTTTTTAAGAGAGCTGAGCGCATTTTGATGAGGAAGGCTGCATCTAAACTAGAAATTGAGACCGAGGCATCTATAGCCCTCTGCAGATTATGAGCAAAACATTTTCTAATGATTCATGCTAATAATCTTTCACGGCGAAACAAAAAAAGCGGTGCATTTACCTAAGCCAACAATGTATTAATGGTAATCTCACAAAATCTGTCAAGAGCATTATGGGTCATATTTCACTCCAAAATCAAGAGAAAAAAAAAGTGTGTCCCAATTTGCATACTTATGTACTATTCTATGATGATTTTAGAAAAAAAATACACCTTAAACTTATTACGCACTTAATTAACAGAAAATATTAAGTATGGAATGTTGGACACTTCATGCACCTTTAATTATGTAGTGGAGGGGGAGGGGCTATCAGACTCTGACGTTGAATGACAAAATAAAATAAATATTAAAAATAATAATAATAATAAAACCTTATAAAGTTCATACACTGGATGAGTACATAGTGTATAGTGCATTAAAAGTAATGCATAACAATATTGCGTTACTCCCTAAAAGAGTAACTAATTGCGTTACAGTTACAAGTAATGAGTTACGTTACTTTTGCATTACTTTTTCTCTCTAAGGCTGGGCTTGCTTCTTTGATTTTAAATTACAAAAAAAGGAATATTTTTTGGCAAATGTAAAACCCCTTTCACACAAAAAGTGAAATGAAGAAACCTCAGGCTGAAGGAATTGCAAATTCACACCTGTCCAGTAGAGGGCGCCGGTCAAACAAACCTTTCAGCTGTGCTGCTATTCTGGGTTGCGTTTCCCGAAAGTATCGTTAGCCAACTATGGTCGCAAGATCCGTCGTTATCAGCATAGTTCAACGAGTCGATGTTTCCCATCGCAACGAACATTCGCAAACAGCATCGCAAAGTTGTGTGGTTGGAACGACAGCTCTCCAGCTGTGGCTAGAAGCATTAGTTTCTAGATTGCATGACGTGGATTTAATAAATCCTTATCTTGAGCAAAATAAGCAAGCTGACATTTAGTACAACTTGTGTCTTTTATTTAGAATACATAAATGTCATTTACGTCTTTGAGTTTGTCACGAGATTTAAAGCATTTTTTTCGAAGAGTATGCATGTGCTAACGTGCTCTACTATGTAAGAACGAGCCTATGATTGAATCTGGAAATAAAGCGAAATAACTGAGAAAAACTAGAAATATTCCTCAGATGTCATGTCTGTAATTTTTATCAAAACATCTAGCATTAATGCGATCTCAGTTCTGAGAGTTTCATTAAAATAAGTTATTACTCCACCACGTGCGTGACATCATAAACCAACGTGGTTGAACGACCACTTTGCGAAAATATGGTTTGCGACAACTAGCTAGTTGATTTCTTCAACGATGCAGTGTTGCCAACTTAGCGCCTTTGTCGCTATTTTTAGCGACTTTTCAGACCCCTTTAGCGACATGTTTTCAAAAAAGCGACTAGCGACAATTTTAGCGACTTTTTGGACAAACCTCAATAACCTCCAAATGTTGCCAGTACTGTCCTGCGAGCGCGAGGTCTTGCTTTCTCCCTGTCGTCACTCTCTCTAGCTGCGTCTCCCCTGTTCAGGGAATGGCTGAGAGGAGCGCACGGCCGCTGACAGACGCGAATGAGCAGTGTTTTCATATGCTTTTCTTTTGTTTTATATTTAAATAATTTAGTTTGACCATTTTAATTTTATTTCTTTTCTTGTGCTTATTACTTGTAACACTCACTATCACAGAGCTTTGTTTATCCGGTTCCCTAACTCTCTCAATTCAGATAATGTTCCACATAGGCCTATAAAAAATGTAGTCATTCACTATATTATAGCTACTCGTTCAATTGTCTGACAACAAAAAAAATAGGAAATGAGAACAGCTTTATTTGACATTCGGCTATATTATATTGAATAGAGCATTAATTCAGAGAGAAAACGCAATTGGCTGACAGAACGCAAGTACGACGCGATGACGTCATTAATATGCTAATTGACGTATGACGTCATCTAGCGACATTTAGCGATTTTTAGGGAAGGCCTTAGCTACTTTCCTTTGAAAATAGTTGGCAACACTGCAACGATGCATCGTACTATGGTAGTGAAGCATTGAGTTAACGTCGTTGTACGGGAAACGCACCCCTGGATCGCAGAAGAATAGGACACAGAAGAAGAAAGTTCAACACTCATACTTCAGTAATAAAAAATAAAATAAAAAAAAACAAATGTGATGTTTATCTAAAGTCATTTTTGCTTATTTGTATGGTTGAATTGGATCTTTGCAGGTCAGCAGCAAAGACATTGCTTCATAAAGAGAAATTGAATAAATAAAGTAAAAATACATAAATATTTGTGTATTTTAAAATTTAATCATTGCAGGCTTGCGTAATATTCTGAGTTTGCATTTATTATTATTATTTTATTGATTTTGTGGAATACGGAATCTGTATTTATGCCAGTGAGATGAGTAACTGTTCACATTTAGTTTAGATCTACAATAATCATCATGTTCACACACAACGCCTCTGCACTTACTCATGATTTCTCTCAACATGAGGACAGGAGAGGACAAGTCAATACATGGGAAAACAAAGTAAGTTGCATCACTTAGTAAAAAAAAAAAAAAGTAACTTAGATATTTTGTTGTGAATTCAAAAGTAATGCAATACTAGTTCCTTGAAAAAAGTAATCTGATTACGTAACTTACGATACTTGTAAAGCATTACCCCCAACACTGTGGATTAAAAACAAAACAAAAGATACTATAACAAAAAGTATCTAAGTATCTAAAAGTAAGATAAAATATGAATAATACCATGTATTAATTATTTAAATACATATATTAAATATAATTTACATAAGTTATTTAAATACATATACCATGTATTTAAAAAAAAAACAATATTACACATGAAATATATTAAATTTATTTATTTATTTTTGGATGAAATGTGACTTGGGCAGGTTTTGTGAGATTTAAGCCGCGGTCCGCGCACTGTCCCTTGTGAAATCATTTTTGTCATCAGGAGGGTCCGCGGACGTTTACGCACACTGTCCATGTGCAGCCCAATTTGTGTGTCCGCACGTGCGAGTGACTTGAGCCACTAGGGCTGCGTTACAGTCTACTTTTAGAACTTCCCTAAGCACTTCCCCTCGGGGGAATCTCTGCAGCCGCTCAACTGCGCTCGAGATGGAGCGGAACGCAAAAAAATTAAGTATACCCGAGCCTTAACTAACTAAATTAAAACTTTACTTTTTACAGATTTAGCCACGTTTATAAATTGTCCTGTAACATTTTCCAATTGAGTTGTTTTAGTCTGAAATGTGACTTATGCAGGTTTTGTGAGATTCACTAAGTAAATAAATAAATACTTTCTCTGATTTAGCCAAGTTTATCAAATGTACTGTAACATTTTCGACTCTAGCTGTTCCGAGAACAGTTTCACATTCTTGTACTCTTTGGGGATAGTTGCTCACTCATGCACATCTAACAACATGTCAGCAAACATTTCAGCAACACATAGACGTTTGTTTTTAATCACTGCATGTCATTCTTTCCATCCCTCCGAGTTCTCACCTTTCTGCTGGTCTCCTGTCATGCGGTAGCGTGGGTAGCCTGGCAGTGATCTCTGAGGTCCCAGGAGCAGCCCATCTTTAACCCACTGCACGGCCCCTGAGGCCCTCAGCACTTCACACTTCAGCAGAGATGTGGCCCCCGCCCTGACCGTCACATTACGTGGCTCTGTCTTGAATGCCTGCTGCCCACACACACCTACAGAAAAAAAAGAAAGACAACAGAAGAAAATGGGAGTCAAGGTTAGGATGGCGAAATCTTTCATTTCCGACACAAGCTTCTATTGCTGAATGATGAAAACATATTTGCAGGGACTGACTAACTAAAAGTAGCGGTACTACTAACTTACAGTTCCCTATTCATTAGACTGACAGTAGTTCAGGGGTTTGTTGGACAATTTCATTGTAATGAATTGGTCCTTTCTCTTAAATGTACACTGGAAAGACTGATTCATGTTAGTGAATTGGTTCGATCTAATATGTAGTGCTGAAAGGACCGATTCATTTCAGTGAATCGATTAATCCTAACTGATTCTTTCACTCATACATATAATTGGTTATGTTTAATCTGGGTTAAATAAGCAGATTCCGAAAAAGAAGTAGTTAGTTGGATTAAATTATGTTTTAAAATTCTCATAATCAGACTACAGTTATTTTTTGCATGATAACATTGTTCACACGATGTCAGTAAATTGTTCCTAATTTATTTATTCTTTTTTTTAAATACACAAATTCATGTAATTTCATATTTACATTTAATACATTCCTCTTTTTTTTATTAAGCTGAACCTCTTTGCCCTAATATATTTAGCTATATTAAACAATTAAGACAATAATTTTACATTTTTATTATTTAATAACTTATTGTTTTTTCATCAACTTACGAAACAACTGCAGTTCTTCCACGCTATTCACCCGCAACCCCTGACGTAATGTACAAAATGGAATATATTTGAAATATTATCATCATCTAATTTGCAATCAGTAATGGACTATAACTTGTATGTAATCTGCGCAGCACTTTGTAGCACTGGAAAACTTGATTCATTCTAATGAATCAGTTCATTCAGACTGAAGGAGAAAATAAAGATTCACTGAAAGTCCATGCATGTTTTTTTATAGTGGAATATTTAGTTAAATACTTAATTATATTACTCAATAATATAAATCTACATAGGTAAATATCTGTATAAAGTGTTTGATGATGTCACACACGCACAGAAACCTGGTTGCTTTACCAGAGCAATTCAAATCTCATTTCAGTTAACAGCTCTCAACAATAAAAATGGGATCCAAATAGAGCTCAGCCAGTGTTCTTCTTTAATTATCCTCTGCCATTGTATCAGGTCAACAATTGTGGTAAGAGATTTCTTTTCTTCAGAAGGTTTGAAATGGCAAAGATAATTTAACGCCCCTTCAAGTTTCCATCTCTTAAAAACTCTTGAGCTGTGGTGCTTATAGACGACGTGAGTTCAAATCTGGTACACAATATTTTCTAACTGGCTTAACTCACAGTGATAGTGAGCTTTGCCTCCAAATTCACAAAAATACTATTACTATTACAAATACACTGTTAAAAATAAAGGTTCTTTATTGGCATTGATGGTTCCATGAAGAACCTTTAACATCCACGGAACCTTTCCTTTACACAATGTTCTTTATATTGGAAAAAGGTTCTTTATATGAAAGTTTACTTGTCTGTATCACTTTTTGAATTGAGTTGAATTGATTTGAGTTAGGCTAGTAGTTTTTGATGTCATAACCTTGTTTTCTAAGGTTATGGGTAAAAAAAGAATGAGAACAATAACTAGACCTATATTTTAATTTATTTATTACTTTTTCTGTGGTAGGGCCAGTGAATTTTTGCAGGGCAAGTAAAAAATCCTTTTAGCGTTGAGTGAGCCCTGTGCCATATTAAAAAAAAATCAGATTGCTACTGTATAATGCTTCAGTAAATTATTTTTATATTTTTATTTGAGACAACCATCATTCATGTATTCCACCAATATTCAAATCATATTTATATGGCTGTATGTTATATAAGTTTTTGTTGAATTCCATTTGATAACTGAACCCTGAAATACAACAAGGCATTAGTTCTCATGTGTCCTTGTCTAGGGAAACATTTTCCTTTTATAACCAGTGTTTATTTGCCAAGAGTCAAATGTGAATAAAAAAAATTACTTTAGCAAATAAATAAAAATGGTTTGCAGGTTGAAAGAGAATAGGACACTCGTTTTTATACCAAAATATCTTCAATTTGGTGCAACTGTTTAGTGAATTTGCTCAATAGTTCTGCATAAGATTATCATAAGATTAAGAGTACCATAAATAATGTTATGCTTTCTGTAAGATTGTCACATCTAGATGCTGATTTACCAGGCCTGCCATGACACTCTCCCCGTTGAAGAAAAAATTGCCTCCCACTATGATGTTGTACTTAAGCATTACTGTGCTGTTCCTCATCTCTGTGTTTTATTGACGACAGATTGGAGCCAATTCAGCTCTGCAAATGAGTCAATAATGTAATTACAGAGAATTAAATCTCTCCTCAGTGAGAAGGAGAGCAGGGGAAAATGAAGGTATGAAGAGATCTCAAATCCCCTTGCTGTTTTCTCAGCTGTCAATACACCTACGGCTAATATCCACCCAGAAGAATAATGGCTGGGCTACAAAAGGCGCCTATTTCCTCACCACTTGGGCTGTGGCATTATGATTTGTGTGACACCCATCTGCTGATCATTCCTTCGAATGGAGTCGGCTTGTACCTGTCATAAACATGATTTAACGGGACATAACACTGACGATGACTCTCCGACGACACCGTTGTGTAACATCAAGCATGCAATTGTGGAAACTCAGCGTGGGAGATCGTACCTAATTAAAAGAATGTGATATTCATTCGTGGTTTGAGATTTAAAGGAACAGTGTGCCTAAACATTTTAATTCTGGGATTTTTTTCACCATTATCAATGAACAACTCAAAGAACTAGTTCAACTAAAAATGAAAATTTGGTCATCATTTACTCACCTCTTTACAAACCTGTACACTCTTAAAAAAAGGGGTTCCTCGAGGTTCTATATTGAACTCTGGGGTTCCATACTTGGCCTTTTACCCCAAAAAAATGGTTCTATGTAGAACCCTTGAGAGCAAAGAACTTTTTTTTATTAAAATGGTTCTATAATTCATGTTTTATGACTGAAGTGTAAACTAAAGATTACACAATAATTATAGGCCTACACAAGACATTCAAAAAGCTTTTTGAGTCAAGACCCATGAGAATGACTGCTGTAGTCAATCTAGTCAATGTTTGATTTGAGCTTTCTTTATGCACGTTTGTACATTAGCATGAAACTTATATATTTCCTAATACATTATATTGCCTTTTTGACCAATCATTTTGTGGAAAAAAATAATAATAAACTAACCAGGTCTTTTCTTTATTTGGTATACCATATTGTGATGGTTTTAATCTATCGAAGGTAACATTAAATAATCGTAAAAATGCCCTCTGGTGGCGTATATGCGTTGCATCATCCTTGAATTCCAATTGGTGGATTGGCGAAGATGAACCTTGAGACAAGTTGACAGTTAGGCTAATTTTTCAAACTGAGGAGTCCACCATTTCTGCCCGTTCATACCCTCAGGTAAGTTAAGTTTTTACATTTTTGAAATAATTTTACTGAAATATTTAGTATTGCAGTTAATAGTTATATTGGTTAGCCTAGCCCTTGTGTTAAATACTGATACTAGAAGCAAAAAGGATAATATTTACCTCAGTTAAAAACACATGCTGTGTAGCACTGACGGGGTTCGTCAGCCGTCGGTTCAGAATGCCCTGTTAAATTGATTTTGCTCCGGTTTTAAATTAATTAAGTGATAGTCCCCCTTTATTTCCTTGTTAATGTTAATGAAATTGTCAATAACAATACGACAGCTGGGTTATAAGGAGACAAGCTTCGAGACGGAAGCGTGAATTTCAATTTCAATGAAGCGCGCACTCGTTGTTCGTTAACGGTAACTTAAAGGGGTCATATAATGGTACATGCACTTTTACAAGTTGATTGTACTGAAATGTGTGTTGGCAGTGTCTGTACACAACCATCATAAAATGATAAAAATCCATCCAGTGTTTTTGTTTTAATCTCCTTATATGTTTTCCCCTGCCTCAAATTAAGCCGTTCGACCGTGTGACGTCACAAGCTCGCACGCCCCTCCCACGATTGTTGATTGACAAGAGCGTTTCAACACAGACCCGCCCTCGCTCATGAGGGAGCTGTCAATCATAGTCCGCGCGGACAGGCGCGGTCATTGTTGATATGCTGGAGCGCTGTCTATGAGCAGAATGGCGTCTAAGCGATTGTGGTGTTCTGTTCTTGGGTGTAATAACAAACACAGTCATTTTAATGTTCCTAAATCCGAACCGCTGAAGACGCAGTGGCTGAGTTTGTTTTCGAAGGGAATATTCTCCACGAGCAACGTCAATGCTCTCATGTTTGCGCGAATCATTTCTCACCAGACTGCTTTATAAACGAGGGTCAGTATAAAGCTGGTTTTGCTAAGAAGCTGCTCATGAAAAAAGGATCGGTACCAGATATTCGTGTTCCTGCTGAATCTCCAGAAGAACGGAAGTGAGTGTAACGTTTTATTAAACTTTATATTAATATATTAATCTTTGCAAATCGCTAGCTGCACGCTTCACAATGAATGCGTCTAAGGTTTACACTCAGGGTACATTACGGCATGTTTTCTATGTATGACGTTCTCAATATAATTCATTATCCCACGTTTATACTGAACAACGCATTATGTTTATTGTGTTATTGTGTTACAAACGGTGTATGCACAGAACAGAGAGGCGGGGTGAGCAAAGCTCATTATCATTTAAAGGCATATGCACTGAAACGGCGTGCTGAAAACAGAGCTGTTTTTGACCAGGTAAAATAAGTGTTTTCTTACAATACTAATGAGAATTTTTAATTAATGTATATTACAAACTTTTAATTTAGACCCTAAAGAATCATATTAGCTTGTACAAAAATGGCATTATATGACCCCTTTAAGTTAATGATAGGCGCCGATTCAAATATAAGGGAACCGGGTGGAAGACGGAGGTGTATGATATGTGAATGTTTGTCGCAGTTTCACACATACGGTACTCAGGCCTGTGTTAACAGGTGTAGAAGTTCTTAACTTTG